TTTCTTCGTTGGGCGCACTATCAGGGTCATGTTCCTCTTACCTTTTCGGGAACATACAAGGACCGACTCGGAACAGAGCGCTTACTAAGCATGTTCACTAATTGTGGTAAGTAGACGGATACAATGAGGTACCAAAGTCTTTATTTTCTCTATATACATACTTCCGTACTCGGAAACATGACCGCTGAATTGGGGTCTACGTAAAAGTAAATAAAAATAAACTCTAATTTAACTGTAGAATATAAACGTGGAAGATTGGCCTTCTATAACAGAAGCGTATGTAGTACAGGAACTAAAACTCAATCGTTTAAATTTATCAAGAGATAAAACTCTGGGTGAAGGCAAACAGCAACTGCGTCTTTAAGTATGGCGCTTGACTCACTGCTTCTTCTCTCTCGCTTGGCAAAAGCCACCACTTAATCTTGGCTTCGCCAGACAACTTTGATAAAAACCTTAACGCTTCCTAATTCTGCCGAAGTTAGAAATAGAAGTGAAGTAAAGATTTAAAATAAACGTTAGTAAAACTTAAGATCCTTACACGATGTCTATGAAATTTTCGCTTCCGAGTCACACGCTTATTTTTTGCGTTACCCATGTTAAAATTAAAACAAAAGTACAGAAAAGAAAGTAAAAGATTAAATTCAATAACTTACATAAATTTTACTAAATACAAAACGACTGAATCATAAATAAAATTTAATATCAATCATCAAACTCCAAGCAAATCGCATACACTACGCTAGAAATAATAAGGAACATTTGATGTTGCCAAACAGTATTTCAGAAATTATAAAAGGTTAAAATGAAGCCAAACCTGAAAATACAAGCATTATGGAGATATTACTTAAACCTTTTAAAATTTCGCTTAAATATAAAGAAAACACAAATAAATTATCCAAATGACAACAACTTCCGGTTGTTTTGACAGCTACCGTCTTGCACTAAAATCCTGATTTTATTGCCACAAGTTGATCGAAAATCTCATGGAAATATCGCTTTTTAATAGAAAAGTAAATCAAGGAAAGAATATCATGGAAGAAATGAAATTAAAATTCAGGACCTTACCTTTTGATTTTAATGTTTAATAAAATGTATATATATAATACATTATAATATCAAAAACAAAATACTTATTATTTATTACTGTCCGTCTTAAAATTTGATTCTACTAAAATAAGAGTTTAGCTGAGATAGTAGCTGTTTTATGAAATCGATTTACGAACTATAGATTGTTATGTAAACCAAAGTACTTAAAACAGTTGAATTAAATTTGTTCTTTCTTAATCCATACCAGTATAATCACATTTTTAAAGGCTTTACATTGTCTAATGATTTCTTATAAATGAGAATTAGTTGAAAACAATATAATGTTTTAATTGCAAACAGGAAAAATTTCCAGACTTCTCGTTTTCTTTCCTTATCCTCCCAAAAAAATGTTTCTTTTTTTGTGGTACGAGCTTGTTTAATATTTTTCTCTCTAAAATTCTGAAATTTAATAAAATTACTTACAATTTTCAACTTAATGAACCTATTTAAGTTAAACTTAGAGATTTTTATTTTTATTAAAACAAATACGTTGCTGTTTTTAAAATCAAATTTTTAGATTTCTCCAAAATGATTATCGAATGTTATGTAAGGCAATTACTCCCTCTATCCCATAATAATTGTAGCAAATGAATATTTAAACTTGAATTATTGACGAATGTAGTTGTAAGTTGATTGTAGCGAAAAATTGCAAAGCTTTCGATCAAAATCAATGTTTCATGACGTCTATCATTTGTTTTGACACATCTTTCAATTTTTAGGTTAACCTAATTATTATTAATTATAACAATGTTTCAAATTTCCTCCGCTGATCGAAGTCAGTTAATTTTCGGAGTTGAATATAAATACATTGTAAAATCAATGTGAAAAAAAGGCAGTTTTCAAACAAAGATCTGGAAAATGCCATGGAGAATTATGGGGCAAATAAATGCTAATTTCTAGTTATGGTGAAAAACTTGAAAATTTAGACATACTGTTGCTCACAGTAGAAAAGGCACGACAAAAGCAGTAAACGTGACCTTTGATAATATTTCTCTGAAATACTGGATAATTTCACTTGAAATTCTGGCCGTTTCTGTCACCTCAACAAGTTATGCTGGAAGCAGTGAAAAACAATTGCTCCAATAAATTTACGTTCACGCATATTGGGAAAGCAAAGTTCATCAGCCCAGAGATCCTACTTACACGTTTATAATGCCTGAACGAAAATTTTGGGAAATCCATAAACTATCTGACACTCAAAATAAAAATTAAGAATAATATTTTTAATGTATTGTTTCATTTAATCTAGTTTTTTGATAATGAATGTTGCGTTCTATACTTATTTCTTTTGCTGCTATTATTATGGGCCAATATAAACTCATCAACTCTAATATTATTATGAGACAGAGGGGATAAATAATAAAATAATTGTAAAACAAACACTTCTTAAAGAAAATCATTGGAACTTAGATGTTATGTATGTTAACGTATATATGTAATTTCATAAACATGAAGCATAGCTTAGTTTGTTATCTCCTATTTTTCTTATAACTGTAGCAACTATTCTTTTCTGATTATATCTGTAATTTATGGTATTCGTTTCCTAGACAAACCCTAATAAATTAGGATCTCATAAATCCTGCTTAAATGAAAGATCGCTTTCGTCGTGGAGAACAAATGTGACATTCACTTGCTTTACATTTATTGGTCCAGTATATAAAGAAATTTTAGCACAGCAACACAGAATTTATGTTGCTTTTTCTGTCATTTTGTATGCTTTTACATTTGGAATTGTATAACATTTCTCTGTTTCTTCCCTCTCATTTGAATTTATTTTAAAAACGAAAGCAAAGTTACTGGAGATTTAAAACCTCAAATGCAATATCTGATTTCTTTGGAATAATTTGATTTTCCAGTCATAAGTTTCATATTATAATAATTTAGCAGAGTGCATGAACGTTGAAGAGAATGTTACATATTTTATAATATATGGGTTTTTTTCTTTTAAGTGCAACATTTTGCAACGAATTATGAACGTATGTATACGACATCTCTACACATTATATTAGCTCTGCATTTCAGTTTTTTCAGTTTATATGAACAATGGCAATGGGAGAGAAATAAAGTTTTTCGAATTGTAAGCTCTAGAAAATTCTGAGATATTTATAAAATTTTAATCCATACTATTTCATGAAAAAATTTTACTATTTTCTTTCCTTGTGGTTTTGCCTATTTATGTCTTTTTATGAAGATAAGGTGAGCCCCTAAGTAATATTTAGTAAGCAACTGACTCGTAATTTCTTAGCTTAAAATAATTTCAGTGTACATTTAAGTGTATCATTTCAGTGCACCAATAGTTTACCTGTTCTCAACAAAAAAGTTTAATAATATGTTAATATTGTTCTTGCCATCAACTCTTACGAAAACGATTTTGTAAATTTTCATAAACATCAATGATCGGAATAAATTTCAGAACAATAAAACAGCAATGGAAGTTTCCAAAAATGGAATACTTGTTTTAAATGGCTTCATAACCTATTCTTTAATTTAAAATTTTTGTGTCTTACTATAATCCAAAAGTAATTAAAAACATGCTTTACATGTGTTCTTTTTGTGCAGTAGTCAGCATATCAGACCAATAATAGGAAAATTTGTTTAATTATGGTTGAAAGCTAATGGATTTCGTCTGGTTTGTTTACTTTATAAGTTAATAATTTTTAATTTGTCACATTTCAATATTACAGGAATATTTATGCATTTTAAAAATTTGTAGCAAATAATTACCGATTTCGAATTGAAATTGAGGGAAAAAATCGCAAAATTTTCTAAATTTTTACAATTAGTCAGGTGACAGGTGAGAGCGGATCCGGACACCCGGGCGGCTTACTAGGACTATTCGGGTATCGTCCGGAATCCGCAACTGTACAACACGATAATTCTTTGGCGCCCCAAAAGCCCGGCGTCAGAAGCTTAATCGAAACTTTTGTTGGTGCTGTATATTGAAATTTGAGCATTTTAAACTGATATTTAAACATTTTACAATAATTGTAATTTACAATACAATAATTGTATTGCAGCCACATTGCAGCTGTTGCATAAATATTATACATTTAACGTGGTGCATTTTATGTGCACCTAGGTTTAAACACTGGAAATAAATTGTTACAATAATATTTGTTTTGCACATACGTGCGTTATTGCACTTACATAAACATTTCACACTAATAATTAAACAATTTACTCTTGGTTACAGGCCAGTTCTAGAATGATACATGCATATATACATAAATAAATAAACACACATAAGTTATCGTGGTGCATTTTACTTATAAAGTAGCTTTGGATAAGTTAGTTACTTTAGAGTGTTCAAGTACGTGGCTCCATCATACACACACTAAATAGCACACTAACATACCGCGCAAGAGCACTAGTACCATACAACGAGGCACTCAGGAATAAGGCAGTTAGTACTGAAGACTGGGTAGGAGTCTGTAGTGCACTAGGTGACATGACAAAGGTTCTGTCCCAAAGCCTGCAGTTTTTCCATTATGAGTTTTAGTTTTCTGAGCAGAGCACGCTGCTTAATAAAGAAGCGCATGAATGGTTCATCATCGACTGGTAGCCGCATGTACCCCTCTCTGTGAGTGGGCATGCTGTTACGTAATGGTATGGAGTACCAGCCTCACCGCACACACAGAGGTTAGATGAGACAAATCCCCTGTTACAGAAATACTCTGGAAACGGTCCGTGGCCAGTTACAAATCTTGTTACAAAGGGTGCCGAGATAAGTTATATAATAAAATATAACCTTGAGGAGCTGTATCCAATTCCTCTTGCCATTGTTTTAATGCCATCTCCCAGATCTGTCTCTTGAGATGAGATATAGGTAGCAGAATGGGCACAGGCTGAGCATTGATGTTTCTTACTGCTTCTTTGGCGAGTTCATCGGCTTCTTCGTTCTCCTGGTATCTAGCATGTGCCTTTATCCAGGAGATATGAGTAGTACTTCGACTCTCGATCTTCTTAAGCAAAGTGGATACAGAGTGAGGAGTAGGGAAGGTAAAGATGCAGAAAATCCGTTTGTTTGGGAAGTGCGGAATGCGTGTCTAAATGCGCCCCTGCTTTTTTTAGCTTGAAATATCGTTTTTTCTAATTATAAGTGCCCTTTCCATGTTTGTAAAACTTCATCGTTACATTTTATTACAGCACTGCATCCAACTCCTCCATCGAGTTTGGAACCGTCTGTATATATGCAAATTGCATTTTCCGAAATATTTTGGCAATTGAGCATCATTAGGTGGGCATGAATACCTGCGCCATGTTGCGCTGGATGTACAATTAGCAGCGACCTCTTGCGCTCATAATCGGCTGGATTAAAGTGAAGATCTCTGTAACTTGCCTGTGTTTTAAGCATTGTGACGGTTGTTATTGCTGACTCCATGACTGCCCTAATGTGCAGAGGTATTGGGCCTGCTAGAACCGTGGCAGCTGCAGTAGCTGTAGAACGATATGCTTTGGTAATGGCAAAGGCGAACGAGCGTTGTGTACTACTTAAGATCTTGATTTTACGTGTATTAATGGGGTTGGCCCATATTGCCGCCCCGTACGTAATAATTTTTTCCACTACTATACTGTAAATTATTTTGCGAATATGTGGTCTTAGGCCTCAATCAGAACCTTGAATGTTTTTAAGGTTATTTGCTATGCGCAAAACTTTCGTTTTCTGTTCTCGCAGATGCGATATCCAACTTAAGTCTTCATTTATAACAAGGCCCAGGAGTTTGAGTTCCTGGTTCGTTTCAGTCGTTAACCGTTCATTTCTATTAATGGGTTTCTTTGGATAGTTTGACCAGGTTTCTGAAAAATAATGTACCTGGATTTCGCTTCCGAGATTTTAAGACGTTTCTGGCAACTGGTCTTCACTGATACGGCAACCTTGTATGCAGGTCTGTCTCCAGAATTTTGAGCACATTAAGCTATCTCTAGCGGACCCTAATAAATTAAGCATGTCATTAATTCAAAGCAAAATATACTTTTATATAGGTGTCTCTTTTGATAACAATTTAGTTGGCGCCCCCAAAAAACTGAAGTCTAGGCGGCTGCCTAAGCCGACTTTGTGTGTGATTGGGAAAATTTACTTAAATATGGAAAAGGTGAGGATGCTTCAGTTGTTAATTTTCCTGATCACTAAAATAACATAATCGGGACCATTTGCATGAGTATATAAGTCACAATTTGTCGTAAAGACGTTTTGCATGTGTATCTCAGTTAAAATTTACCTCAGTTTACCACTAAGGTTAATACGATGCGCAGGACTAGAAGATAACAAGATCATGCAACTATACCAGGCTTTGGATGTAATATCATATAATCTTTCTTGTGTCCGTTTATCAAGGACTTATATTTGTAGTCTCTTTCCGGACTACAAATATAGTAGGAAACTTGCAACCGTTTGTCAGATACTGTGGCTGTGGTCATTCGCAGTAAATGTCACATCTGTGAGACGAAAATATTCATCGCATAAATAACCACTGTATCTAGAAAGGTGAAAAGGCTGATAACATAAAAAATATATTAAAAGTTTTTTTTTTTTTTTTAAATCTGAAAGGTTTCAGATTTTAAATTACGTCCCAAAGGGGGCGTTTTTTAAACGTTTTGGTTACCTTTATTTAAATATCACGTTTTTCACTTTAAATCAAAACTTTCAGCTAACATATGTCGAAAAAATTTTTTAAATGAGCATATCTTAAAATTTCCGATAACATTTCGCGCGCTGGAAATAAAAAAGTTTTCCCGTTAGAGTGTTGCCATTGTCGTTTTTTTAATCGTAAGTTGTTATCAAAGTTCGTTAAAAGCTTTAACAAAATAAGAAATCATAGTAAAACCAATTCAAATTTCACGTCTGTATTCACAGCCCATATTCGGAGGGATTGCATCATTTCAAAATTCGATGGCTCTAGTACCGTTGTTTTTCCTCAATGCGAGAAATACATACATTAATGCAGTTTTTCATTATTTTAATTTCTTCAATATATAATGCAGTACTCTAACATTTGGTGGCAACAGATTGAAAAGTGAAACGGACATTTATAGGGATTCAACGCAAAATCGCAAAACGAAAACATTAGTCCTTAAGAACTATTACGAAGGATCCTTACGAAGCCCCTTTGGACTACGAAACTTCATAAGCATGTTTCTATTTCAGTTAAATAAAATTTAATATCGTTTTTTCTCTTAATTTTTATGAATTGTCGAAATGATTCACGGCCATATGAAGAGCCTTGTATTATTGAATTCTCAAATTTTAACGGAATAAATTATAATTGATAAAAGAACGACTGTTACTAACGAGCACTGCAGTAAGGCAAACACAAGGGCACACAGAGAAATGTACTCATTTTTAAAGTACTGCACATTAAATTTAATACCAAGTTTTATAATTCATGTTGAAATAAGTGTGGAAAGGAACGCTATTTTTGCTACGTAGAGAAAATTACATCTGTTAGGAGATATCCGTCTTCCACAGTAATCGCCTTTGGTTTTAAGTGGAGAGCTGAAGCTGCTTAACATGCTTTCAAACAATCTTACGCGTTTAAAGTAAGATTGTTTTCAATATTGTGTTAACTGATTTCTGTACCAAATATAATGTTAATCAGCGGCGCCGAACCGAATGGCACGGAGGAATGTTGGGATTTTTCAATACTCATTTAACTGATTTCTGTTCCAAAAGTAATGTTAATTAGTGGCACAGAACCGAATGGCAAGGACAAAAAGTACTGTTCACCACATTCACTTGGGTTCTCACTGTGTGCTCATAGAAGAAGGCTAATTTTTATTTTCATATATTTTATTAACTAATAAATATTTGCTAAATATGTAAAATGGAAACTTAAGCATAGAAAATTAATGAAACTTATAGCACTGAATATAATTGTAAGCTGACATAGTTAACTAGCAAAAGTCATTAATAAATTATTTTTTTATAAAATTTTACTGGTGATTTTTCATGAAACGTATAATCTAAAATAGATTAGAAAAAAGAAAGATAAGTAACTGCATGTTTTTATCTATAAAAAAATGCTAAGTTAATTCTGAGATTATTTTCTTCACTTTTGTTAATCTTGACACTCTTATAGTGTAAATTATTTCTTGTTTTGTTTAAATCTCTTGTTTTGCTTTCATAAATTTATTAGTTAATAAAAATATGAAAGTAAAAATTATCCTTCTTTTCAACTTGATCTCACAAATCACTATGTGAATATTCATTTACAATTATTAAAGCCTCAAAAACGCATGTCTGCGATGTTATCGCCATGCGATGAATTATAGGTGCTGTTACCACTATACCACTATATTTTCATCGACGATGACTGCGACGCTTTATTTTCGACGACGATATTTTGCACCGCGACGTTTTCGCCTTGCGTTGTTTTCTCCGCGACGTCTTCGTCTACGATGTTTTCGGCTGTAACCATTCTACAACAACAATAATACAATTTGGTGTTATACAATGTTCATTTAAAAATTATTGTGTCACACCCTACAATGCAAATGTGACAAGAATTGGCCTTAAATATATAGGCAAATAATATATGTTTGTTTCATTTATTTTATTCGATTTTTAATTAATAATCCATTATATTAATAACCTATTTAATTAAAAACCCATTAAATTAATAATCCTTTAAATTCAATAATCCGTTAAAGCGCATTGGCAAAAGGGAGAAATAAGTTATTCTGTGAAATCCGATCGCTACAGCTTTTTTCAGGATGCGAGTTTTGTTATATCCGTTATTATATCTCTTATCTCGATCCTTAGCTGTTCATTGGGCAATATATTAAATTTAGAGAGCTGTATCATTTGGAAATCTGCTACGGTTCAGATATAAAATTATAAAATTAGATATATTTTCAATTTGTTATTCTGTGTTTTATTTAGAACTTTTGTGGAAAGCTCCAGAATTGCTGCGAGATCCCAACGCACCTCCAGCCGGAACTCAGAAAAGCGATATATATTCTTTCGGGATTATTTTATATGAAATTATTGGACGAAATGGGCCCTATGGACAAATCGAGAAAACTCCATCAGGTAATAATTTCCTCCGAGGTAATAAAAAATTATTTCATAGAGTAATTTTTAAATTATTATTGCCATTGTGAATACAAAGTCATGTAATTTAAATATATAGTCTTGTACTGTGATATAATAAAAATATTAAATATTATTTCAATTATTAAATTTGAGTTTTATTGAAGATACCAATAAATGATACGCCCTTAACGTACTACATTAAGTCTGCATTTTGAAATTATTAAATTTCCTTGAAATATTAATGTTAGTCAGTCTAATATTTGCTTCCAAGGTTCAAAAGTAAGGATATCTTAAAGTTCCTAAGCACTGTAGAATTTCCTTCCACAATAGAAATCCAAATATCTGGAGCTTTTGTTATTTTGACGGCTTTTCGCTTTTTCTTGGACAAATTAGGCTCAGCTTGCTTCGCAATATTCTTTTAACTTTTAGTTACTATATAACATTATAAAAATACTGAAATGTAGAAACTGTTAAAAATATTGCCCAAGGATTGGTTGAATATGACTAATACAGAACTTTTTTCACAGTATTTGAAAAGTCTGTATCATATTAAGTCAAATGCAAAAGCAATGTTCCTAAGCACTGTAGAATTCCAGTCCACTGTAAAAATCCAAATATTTTGAGCTTTTGATACTCTGTTAGCTTGTCCTCCTTCCTTGGCCAAATTAATCTCAGCTTGTCGTTTCGTTTCTCATCGATCTTTTAACTTTCCGTTGATGTAAATAATAATGCTAAAATTATGCAAGGTAGAAAATTTTGATACTATTACTCAAAGATTCGATGAATATGAGTAATGCGGAACTTTGCTTATAGTATTTCATGAATATGTAGTCCATTAAGTTGAATGGAAAAGAATTAATATTTGTGTATAGGCCTACGGTTCTTAATTCACTTCCTAAGTCTTTGTCTAAGTGCAGGAAAAGGTTTTTTTGCTAAAGACAGACTAAAGAAGTATGGGTATGTTCTCGTAATATTCTTCCTACCCAATAAATGTTGACTTCACATTGAAGAGAGAGGAGAAAGGAAGAAGAAACCACGATTTTACCATTAGCAGTATGATATAATTTTATCATACTGTTGTCTCTATCAAGGCATAATGATAATATAGGGTAATTAAGCAGGGCACCGTAAAAGAACCATTTCCTAGATCACTGTTATATTAGAGGCAACAATGGAGTACACATGTATTTCGAGTATGCTATAAAAATATGTCAGGAAATTCAGAAAAGTAATGGTACATGCTTTAAAAGATTTCTTGTTGTACACATATTTGTGAGTTATTGAGAAACAGATTATTCCATATTAGGCGCATCGTCATATGAAGATTCGTCGCATATGTAGTTAGTGCAAGAGTCTTATCTAATATGGCCATTTTAGACAATTTTAAATAAATGCCTTTATTGTGTAAGGTATTTCTCCCTCCTTCCTAGAATGCCTTCTTGGTGTAGTGGTCAGCACACTGAGCTGGTTTTTCAGATGTCCGTGGTTCGATTCCCGGCGATTGCTAATTTTTCATCTCGTCTGCTTCCAAAAACTTCCTACAGTGGCGCCCGAACTAAAAGGGTGTTGGATGATGATTCTCCTCACCCAGGATTTGGCGATTGGTTCCCCTAAAACCCCAGTCGCCCTTTAAAAGGGCGACTGGGGTTTGTATGTAAGGTATGTAAGGTATTTCTCCCACCTTCCTAGAGTGCCTTCGTAGTGTAGTGGTCAACACACTCAGCCGATATTTCAAAGGTCCGTGGTTCGATTCCCGGCGAAGGCGATTGATAATTTTTCATCTCGTCTGCTTCCAAAAAATTACCCAATGTTTCTACAATTGGTATACACAAAATATGAACTATTACGGTTTTACTTTGCTGTTACAAATGCGTAGTAACTGAAAGCTTGCTCTGTTGTCCGCTTGAGCTGTTATTAATCCTTGCATCTTAAGCAATAGACCTTGTTAAATGAATTATGTATACATTTTGTTGCATGTATTTTTGGCATAAATTTTCACGGTTGTGAGTTTTAAAATGCTTTTGGAGTTTTTGTTGCGAAATAAAATTATACTGAAAATAAATTTTAATAAACTGTAATATCAGAGTTCGGTTTTTCAATTTATTTTAATATCAAATGGTAATCAAAAGCGTTACAATCTGTTCTAATGTTCTTTTATACCAAAATATGCAGCGTAACTGTAGTCAATTACTATCTATAGCCCTGTGGTGAATGTCATATTTTTTATTTGGTGAGTGTACCTTCCTCCTTATAGAATGTAATAAGAAAAGTTTCCAACAAAGTTAAACACAATTTTCGAATTTTTTATTCAGTTTGCAATTAATGTTACGCAAATTATATTAAAACTCTGTTTTGCAGAAATAATAAAGAGAATAATGAGAAGGGACCAGTCTCCTCCATTTCGGCCTCAAGTTGCTAAGCTCGAGGATTCTTTTGATTGCATTGTGGATTGCATGCAAGAGTGTTGGGCGGAAGATCCCGAAACCAGACCTGACTTTAAGTCAATTAGAACGAAACTGAGACCCATGAGGAAAGGAATGTAAGTATTTCTTTTAGTATTGCTATGAATAGTATAAATATGTGTATGTATTATTTATCTTTTTTTAAGGTCAGGCACTCGC